ATTTAGCTGCTGGGTGTGATAGTACATGCTTTTGGTCCCAACATTCAGGAAGCAGAGGCAGGTGGATCTCTGTGAGCTCCAAAACACCCAAGGCTACAAAAAATGAGGCCTTGTCTCAAAAAACCAAAACCAAAACCTATCCTAAATTTAAAAAAAGAAGAAAGACAGAAAGAAAGAAATTTAGGTAAGTATAATGGTGCATGACTGTAATCTTAATACTACTTAGTAGCCTGAGATAGAAGTGAGTTTGAAGGCAGCCTGGATTACACTGATAGATGCTGTCTCAAAAAAGAGCACACTACAGATTTAAAACTTTAGATTTAAATAATCAATTAGAATTTAGGCAGTTTTTCCCAACTATTTTGTTCAAGAACTAGGTAATTTAGTAAATCCTCTTATGAACCTCTTCTTAGAAAAATGTTTTAAATCCATAATCTAAAATACACAGTAATACAAAGAATTATTCTACTAAAATTCTACTACAATAAAACTTGTGACATGGTAATTTTTGTGCTTATGTAAATTAAATAATATATGGTTTACCCTTGAAAATAAACGTTAATGTTGAATACAACATGAAGTAAAAATATTAATGAGAATAAAGACTTAAAACTTTCCCCATTCCAATTGTGTCCTTGAATCTCAGAATAAAAAACCTTTTGACTGCAGAGCTAAGGTTTTTAAAAACCTCAGCACTCTGGAGAGGTAGAGGCAGGTGAATCTCTGAGTTCAAGGGTCAGCTGGGGCTGCAGGGAAACCAAAAACCAATCAAATGCCAGAAAGAACAAATAAAAATTTCACCACTTGCTTATTACTCACATATGGAGGCATCATAGCTCTATACTGAGAAGCAAGGGCAGGCTGCTGTCCGTTCAGTTTGGTCTGTGGAGGACCACAAGCTATCCTCTTTTCCACCACTTTAAGGATGTCATTTTGTTCTGATGTTATAGCTGTACTTTCATCCTGGCCAAGCTGCTTCTCATCCTGATCAGATGAAGGTGAGCCAGCAGACTTACCACCATCTCTCCAGCAAGCAACATCTGGTATGGAAAGAAAAAAGGAGTAAGAAAATATCTAGTAACACAACAGTGGCACCAACCTAGGCACATTTCAAGAAAGTGTAATCATGGAAGCACAGGAAAAACACAAGTTGTCTCATATGTGGGCGTATTAATGCTCAATGTGTTTAGGTAGTCAAGAATGGTGACTTCCAAAGCAGAAAAGTTTTATCTCAGGATGCCATTAAAAGCAAACAAGGGAGGAATATTAGAACATCTATGATGCTCAATATTTATGTAGAGGTTAGAAATCAGTTTTTGCTTGGTTCATGTGTCAGATGGTCATATTTTCAGATATCTGACAGCTCCTGAAGGAAGGTGGGAATTCTACAACCAGTAGACGTTCTCATTCATTAGCTTTCAGTCAACTATTGCTAGCTAATACGTACCCAGATGAGCAGATTCAGTGACACTGTCTGGTTAAAATCATTACCCAAGTTAAAGTACTGAGTAGGTTTTCAAAGAAACCTCAAAGAGAGAACTATCCTCTACCCAAGAAAGGGGCCCAGTTTTTGTCTGTTATTTTCCTCACTTGTTTGGGGGAAGGCATGTTATGAGCTGTCCCAGCAGAAGGGGCGTTAGGAGCCCAAAACTAGTTAAGTGACCTAAGAATTATAGCCCTAGTAAAAATAGCCTCAACTGACAGTTTCATTGCAAACTTGTAAGAAAATCCCTTAGCCATAATCTCTAGCTAGGCTGCTTAGATTCCTGTCCTTTAGACATGGGGAGAGGTCAATATGTTGGGTTCAGTTTATTAATTCACAATGTCAAAGTTATTGGGTAGCAACAGATAACTTACAGATCAAAATTCAACCGAATACAGCAGTGGAGCCAATACAAATTCACTGTTTACATTATGAAGATTAAAAAATAAAAATAGATGATATATTTGGGGTTGACAAGAAATGGACCAAAAGAAATGTGAAATATAACAGCATTAAAAAAATATGGGCCTGTAAAATTTCTGTTAGAGGAAACTCATGGGTAAAGGGTCTTTTGAGATGTTTAGTAATGAGAATATAAAGCTAGCTAAGACATTTACAAGTCTTTCAAACATTTTATATTTTTAGTTTTCCCTTTATAACATAAAGTATCCTTCACTATCCAAAATAATTTATGTCCTATGGACAGATCTTACAGTTGTATACTTGGGAAATCTGGCAAAATTTTCATTACTGTAAAAAAGATCAAATGCACAGGTAGTACGTGCACCTATACTCCCAGCCCTCAAGACGGCTGATCCAGGCCAACAATGACCTCTAGGCCAGTCTGGACTATATCGTGAGATTGTCTTAAAAACAAAGAGACCTCCCCCGCCACCACACACACAAAGAAAGCAGGAAGAGGGAATGGACAGAACAAAGACAAGGAAGGGAAAGAAAAGGGAAAAAAGTACCAAATATTATTGTACAGAGAGATACCTGGACATCTTGGAAAATTGCAAATTTTGACTTAGTAAGTTAGATATGAAGACCAAGATTATACATTTCCAACAAGTTCTCAAGCTAGAGTGATACTGTTGGTATAAAAATCATGTTTAAGTGACAATAGCACTGGTCTCTGGAAAGTAGGCAAGGCATATATATGAGCATGCAGGAGGTGACAACGCAAGTTAAAACAATGTGATCTTATTCTGTGCCAGTAGAAAGCATTCTTACTTGGTGGGCGTAAACTGGGTCCAGGTCCATAGTTTTCATCATTCGTTTCCTTTTCTTTTTTTTCTTGATCTCCAGCTGCCTGCAGACTGGGAAATTCCTGCTGAAATTGACTATTCACTTGGATTCCTAAAAATTTTTCA